CTGTCGTTTACAGGTCACAGTCTGGACAAGCAGCCTGTCGGACGAGCTTCGGCGTCACGGCATGCGCGAACGATGCCCCAAGCGGCGAGTGGTGCAGCAACGCGGAGATCGACTCAGATGACAGGTAGAATTGAAGTCACTCAAGGTTAATAGTCAGAAGTCTGTCTGACTTTGACGGACATTCCCCCCTTGCATGCCATCCCAGACACGCACCAGCTCAAATCATCGCACCGGAGCACCTGGCACAAATACTCCAGGTGGGGCGCCTTCTCGCCCACAGCGGTCTTGACCTGTCGCTGTTAAACTTTAAACCCTTAAATCGTAAACCCTGACACCCCAGACCCCCCCCCCCCCAAACCAGCACTGAAAGTCGTCGGCCTTGCTGAGGTCCCCATCTCCGACGGGCGAGTAGTACGCGGAGTTCATGTAGGCTTCACGTGCTTCTTCACCAAGTCGGGCTTGGGCCTCACGAGCAAATTATAGGCTTTAAGGTTTAGGCCTGAATTTGCGCACATTATTCAATCATCTGGGAGCGCCTGGGGGTCCCCGGCCAACACACCAAACGTAATGGCGAGCTTTTCCAGTCTTTTCCTTTCGGCCGCATCTGCTGGAACCCCACGACGAGTTGACATGGCTTTCGACCCAGCTGCCAATTCAATCAAGGCTGCTACGGTCCGGCTACTGTTTCAAAGCTGCTACGGTCTGAGCTGCTGCCACTTGACTTCAAGGCTGCCAACTGAGTACTAGTCTGTCACGTGGCTACTACTGTCAGTCACGTGTCATGGAACTGTCTGTCACTGTGACTTCGACACTTGAAGCCAGCCGGACGCTTGAACCTTCGTTCTGAGGCGATCGTGCGTGATGCGTGGCGCAGCAACACTGTCTCAGCCCGACCGCAATCTCAGGACGACAAGCAGTGTCAAGCAAAGTCACGGGCCTTGGAAGATCACATCGTGCAGCAGGGGTGACCGCGGTTCAAGGCCTTGGCTGCATGTCAACTAGCCTACTCGTGGGGCAACAACCAACGGCCAATGAACAGCCGTTCCTCGTCGATCAGACAGGATCTGGCGCCACTGCACGGACGTTGTGCCAGGCAGCGTCCTCTCAATGAGACCATCACGAACTAATAGTAATCTACAAAATTTCTGGAATCATCAGTCATGAAATTGCGAGTTTAAAACTCACAGCTCTGCCTCGGTCTTGAACGGGAGCAACAAGAACCACCAGGATGGAGGACCTTGGCATTACAGCGGCTAGTATGGACAGTTGTTATGTATCGAATCAACATGAAACAGGGTAAACAGGGTTTATATCTTGTACCCCCAAATGGACACCCCATATAATATACACTCACCACTACATTAAAGGAACCTTGTAGTTTACTAAATTTAATATAGACAATTTCGCCTTACTTAATAATATAATCAATGACGAGCGGCTTCGTCCTGCTGTGTGTCAGGCGTAGGCGTATGGTCGGGCCATGCATTTCCTTAGCTGCACACAGTCGCAATGGTCGGCCTACTCATTTTCGCCTTAAATACCAGTCAATGACGAGCGGCTTCGTCCTGCTGTGTGTCAGGCGTAGGCGTCGGGCCATGCATTTCCTTAGCTGCACACAGTCGCAATGGTCGGCCTACTCATTTTCGCCTTACTTAATACCATTCAATGACGAGCGGCTTCGTCCTGCTGTGTGTCAGGCGTAGGCGTATGGTCGGGCCATGCATTTCCTTAGCTGCACACAGTCGCAATGGTCGGCCTACTCATTTTCGCCTTAAATACCAGTCAATGACGAGCGGCTTCGTCCTGCTGTGTGTCAGGCGTAGGCGTCGGGCCATGCATTTCCTTAGCTGCACACAGTCGCAATGGTCGGCCTACTCATTTTCGCCTTACTTAAATACCATTCAATGACGAGCGGCTTCGTCCTGCTGTGTGTCAGGCGTAGGCGTATGGTCTGGCCATGCATTTCCTTAGCTGCACACAGTCGCAATGGTCGGCCTACTCATTTTCGCCTTACTTAAATACCATTCAATGACGAGCGGCTTCGTCCTGCTGTGTGTCAGGCGTAGGCGTATGGTCTGGCCGTGCATTTCCTTAGCTGCACACAGTCGCAATGGTCGGCCTACTCATTTTCGCCTTACTTAAATACTATTCAATGACGAGCGGCTTCGTCCTGCTGTGTGTCAGGCGTAGGCGTATGGTCGGGCCATGCATTTCCTTAGCTGCACACAGTCGCAATGGTCGGCCTACTCATGTACACGCAGACCTTAAAGAGCCTCATTATGGCTTAAGGTCCAGGTTTAGGGTTTCGGTCCGTTTACAGTCAAGCTGTCTCTGCCAACTTTAACTCAATCAGCTGACCCTGCGATGCACTCAAGGCCGAGCTGTCTATCTCTCTGACTGCAATACTTTGGTTGAATGCCCTTCGATCTCCTGTGTCCCTTTCGGCGTGACAGCAACCAGCTGACCACTGCCCGTCAACCCCTAAACCTATCTTAAAACTTATTGGACAGTCTTTCAGTTTTAAAACTTATTACACTGTCTTTCATGAACCCTATTAAATTAGGGCCTTAGGGTTGCGGGCCAAAACGACGGTCAGGGTCAGAGGTCGGTCCTCCAAACAGCCTCAGTCGGGCAGCGCAAGGGGGCTGGGCAGCATTCGCCTATCGTTACATTCCGTTTCGGCCAGGATTCAGAACTCGAGTCGGGCTTCTGGGAGATGCGATTTTCCGACCCCGAGTGACAATGCCGGGACGTGCAAGCACGGTCCCACCCCCTGTGTCAGGGAGCCATTCGGGCACTGGCATCACGGAGAAGGGCACGCACCACCACGCAGTATCCGAGTCGAGCATTCTGCGTCCGACCTACTTTGGACACCTAAGCGTGATCTAGAGCGGGTCTTCATCAGACAATCTCATTTCTCTTTCGTTCTCCACCGCTCTTTCGGATCACGCACTTCCTCTGGGCCTTTAGACAGACTAAAATGGCGCTAGTTAGTATGCGAGCCTCAACGGTCCTATTTTTTCACTACGGGCGAGCCTTGAGCCTTTACACAATGACCGAGTCATCAGTCAAAGTGGCCGCCCTTTCGGGCTGCAGGACCCTTCTCGGGCCGCCTAGTTACAGGTTAGACTAGATTACCGGGCCCCCAGGGGAGGGGGGGTTTGGGGCCATCCTCAGTGAACGGACGGCCCCAGCCCTCATCGGGCAAGAGGCTGGGGCATTCTTTCGAACAGCCCCAGCCCCAAAGGCGTCCTCAACGGACAGCCTCAAGCCCTTTCGGGCCACATGGTCCCTTTCGGGCCCAGCACCTCATCTCCAGTAGCTCGCCACCACACCTGCGGGTCCTGGCAGCAATCGGACATGGCGCCTGGGCGGATTAGTTAGGGTTCGGGGTTAACGGTTTAAGGGCTAGACAAACCGGTCGGGCTTGGTACTAAGTTTAAAGGGGTCTGTTCGGACTTTTCAGGTCGGGCTTGGTCCTGGTTCTGAAACAGGCCTGTTCGGACTATGTACTAGGACTATGTACTACGTGCTAATAACAGGTCGGGCTTGGTTCGAAGGGCCAGGGGTGTATTTGTTATAGGGCTCTTTTGGTCTTTAAGGGGGAGCAGGACCTGTGGTTGGGGAGCTTCGGCAACCCTGAACTAACCCTAAACCGTAACCCTAAACCTTGCAGTCGAGCATCGCATCGGTCTCGGTCACCACAGTCAGAGAAAGGGAGGGGGCTTCTGGGCCACAAGAGGCTTCGGGGCTTCGGGCGAACCTTATTATCGGGATAACTTGAATCGCTCTAAAGTCACAACATCGGGCGACGGCAATCGTACTGATTCTCTTTTGAAGCATTGCTTGGGCTCACACAGGAGGCTTAGGGTTTAGGGTTTAGGGTTTAGGGTTTAGGGTTTAGGGTTTAGGGTTTAAGGTTTAGGGTTTAGGGTTTAGGGCTTAGGTTTAGGGTTTAGGGTTTAAACATATATAATACTATTAATATTCTGACACAGCACAACATGCAAAAAATTAAAAAATTAACGCTATTTAGCCCTAAGAAACTCTTAAACCCTAAATCCTAAACCACTAAGAGCCAGGGGGATTAAGGGTGTGTCAGGCTTAGGAGAGGCTTAGAAGCTGCTTCATCCTCACCTCGAACATTGTCTACACTCCGAAGCCCTTCTATTACCCTAAACCCTAAACCCTAAACCCTAAACCCTCAACCCTAAGCCCTAAACCCTAAACCCTAACTCCAAAGTAACCCACCCGAACCCCACGCAGCAGCAGGCCTTTCTTGGGCGCGCCGCCGGTAGGTTCTCCATCGCCGGCGCTGCGTCTTCCTGGTTGAGCTGGGTTTACGGTTTAGGGTTTAGGGTTCAGGGTTCAGGGTTTTTGCTGGGCTGCCCAGTAACCTAGGTTTAAAAATGGGTGCCCTTTGTTGCTTCAAGGTGTGTATAAGGGAACCAAACCCCCCCCAAAAAAGGAACAAGGGCACAACTGGGCATCCCAGGTAATTGGTTTCTTACGATTTGGGCTTGGGATTCTGGGATTATGGAGCTTCTTCGGGTTCGGGGCCGATGCGTGCTCGGGCTAAACCCTGAACCCTAAACCCTAAAAACCCAGAATAAACCCAAACCCTGAACCTTGAGCCCTAAAATCCGAGAAACCCTGAACCCGAAATACCCCTAAACCCTGGCCTCAACACCCTCACCCCAAGCCCTACCCCCTGCACCCAAAACCCCTAAGTCCTCTCAGAACCTATATTCCCCAAAACCCAAACGCCTAAACCCTTCCCTAGACCCTACAACCCCTCCATCCTATCTACACCCTTAACCCTGAAGAACTCTCCACCCTACACTTTCCACCCTATACAGTCTTAACCCTAAACCCGAAGCAGTAAGCCCTAAACCCTAAACCCTAAACCCTAAACCCTAAACCCTAAACCCTAAACCCTAAACCCTAAACCCTAAACCCTAAACCCTAAACCCTAAACCCACCCTCATCCTCAGGGAAGCCTCCTCCTCCGCGCCGGGGCCCTGCACGGCTCCAGGCTGCGCAGCCATGGCAGCCATGGCTGCAAGGGCCTTGGGAACATAGGGTTTAGGTTGGGACCCCTAAACCCTAAACCCTAAACCCTAAACCCTAAACCCTAAACCCTAAACCCTAAACCCTAAACCCTAAACCCTAAACCCTAAACCCTAAACCCTAAACCCTAAACCCTAAACCCTAAACCCTAAACCCTGAGGTGGGATGCTGAGGATCTGGGCGGCATTCGGTTCTAGGGGGTTGGGGGTGATGCAGTGGATAAGAGTGTCTTGATGATGGGTATGTAGGGCATCTTAAAGGGCACTTGCGGGGTTTTAGGGTTTAGGTTTAGGGCTTATAGGGTTTAGGGTGTAGGGCGTATTTATTTAGGGCACAAACACTCATGATTAAGCCCTCAACCCTCAACCATCAAGCCAGGCAGGAAAGGGGTAGCTCGAAGCCACCCAAAGTGGGTTTCCAAACAGGGCTCTGACCCTGGCGGAGTTTCAAGTACTGGGCATCAGCGGAAGAATCCTCAATCCAATAGACCCGAAATCCTACCCCAAACCTTTTACAAACCCTAAGCCCTGAGCCCAAACCCGAAACCCTAGACCCTAAACCCCTACCCTAAATAGTCCCCAAACTGCTTGGGCTTCTTCGGGTTGAAGCACTAGGGGCCCCTCTGGCTTGTAGGGTTCAGTGCTTTAGAGGCCTTACGTTGGCATGTTCCCCCTTGTACTAACAGTCCTTAGTAGGGATAATGGGGGGGTCCCTAGACGCCCAAAAAACTTTGCAAACTAAACCTTCAACCCCCAAAACGCTTGAAAACCTCAACCGCAAGCCCCCCCCCCCCCCCCCCCCTCGACGCTTCAAACCCTAAACCTTAAATCCTAAACCCTAAGCCCCGAATCCTAAACCCTAAACCTTGAGTCCTAAACCCTAAATCCTAAACCCTAAGTCCCTGCTACAGGCCTCCTCTTCGTCTTCGTCGTCCTCCATCGGCTCCTCCTCCTCCTGGCCATCTACCATAGGGTTTCGGGTTTAGGGTTTAGGGTTTAGGGCTAGGTTTAGGGTTTAGGGTTTAGGGTTTAGGGATTAGGGATTAGGGATTAGGGTTTAGGGTTTAGGGTTTAGGGAAGGAAGCTCTTTAAGGTTGATGATGTCGCAAATTCATCGGCCTAGCTTTGGGTCCTTGCATACCGGTTAGACATTTGTTGTACAATTTACTTCAAGAACCTTTCAAGGGGTATAAGGAGGACCCCTAGAGGGGACCCTGAATAATAATGAATAAATATAAATATATATATATATATATATATATATATTATGATTTATCTATTTATTTTTATTTATTTAACAATTTATTTATTTATTACTATTATTATATCCCCTACATAACCCCTATACATACCTTATAGAGTCCCTCTCTACCTAAGTCGCCGCACCAAAGGCTGCTGCTCCGCGTGCGACGGCCGCCCGGGTCCTGAAAAGCCACCGTCTTGGCGGTCCTGCAGCCAATGTAGCTTCAGGGCTGCCCAGCAAAAAGCAGATGCCATCCCACGGACAAAGCGACAGTGATGTCCTCGAAGGCTTGTCCAGAGCTCTGACTGCGGGACTGTTTGGACTGCTAGGATTGAGACCATGGCGGGACCCCAGTCAAAGGGATCTCTAATGGATACTTGTCTGTCTGGCAGCCGGTGGTTGTCAACATCCTCTGGATGCTGTCCCTGATGGAGGGGCGGTGCCGCTTTCACATGTGACACCTCGTGGGCACCAAGCTGCCAGACTCGCAGGCTGAAGATTGCGCATCTTCCGCTTGCCCCATCCAAGGTTCTGTAGTCAGCATGCTGCGGGTAGTGGGTCTGGTAAATAACACCTCAATAACCCCTAACGTCCGTTATAACAGTCCCTCCTTTAGTCCCTTGATCCAATAAGAATACCCTGTCTTGGGGGTTGGTTACTTCGTGACGAAACCTAAAGCCAACAAACAAAAGTGCGAGGGCCGCCCATACTTGTACCCCCTCAAGAGCCCCCCCCCCCTCAATTCCTAGCCTCCGAGAGAACTCAGGCCCAAGCCCAAAACCTCAAACCCCCCTACACCCCAAACCCTAAACCCTAAACCCCAAACCCGATGTCAGCCCGGAATCTCTCCCATACCCCATCATACCCTGAATCCTCAACCCTAACCCCATCATAGCCCAAACCCAGCACCCTTAACCCTAAACCCTGTGCCCAATCATCCCCGTAAACCCCATTACCGTATACCCTAAACCCTTGATCTGTACACTGCACCCTAAAACCCTTAAACCCTAAACCCTAAACCCTAAACCCTAAGCTCCATCATACCCCAAAGCCTAGACTCTGAACCCTGAGTCCTATCTTAGCTTGAACCTTAAACCATAAATTAGCCTGTACCCTACGCCCTAAACCCTATCATGCCCTAAACCCTTTAGCCAAAACCCCATAGTCTATCATACCCGTCATACCCTAAGCCCTATACCCTAAACCCTACATTCCCTAAACCCTGAACCCCTCGCTCCAACTTCTCAGGGGGCTTATGTGAAGCGGGGCTTCTACTACTAGTATCCCCAGGACACCCAGACTTAAGGAATCGCACACTCACCAACAACAGAAAAAGGTGTGTATATAAAAATATATTTACCCTGATTCTTGCAGAATTTGGGGTTGAGACTTGAGGACTTAGGGTTTAGGGTTCAAGCTGGAGGGTTGAGGGAATTTAGAGTTTAGGGGGGTAGGCTTCAGGGCTCGGGGTTTGGGGTTTTACGGGTTAGGTAAGGTTTAGGGCTTAGGCAGAAACTTCGGATCCTCCTCTGCTGCCTCTTCAGCGCCCTGCCCGACTTGGGCCTGGTGGGGGGGGGGGGGGGGGGGGGGGGGGGGGGGGAGTGGGTGTTCGAGCTACAAGGTGAGCCTTCGAGCAAACCCTCCATCCCCTGAAGCCTGAGACCCTAAACCCCTAAGACCTAAATCCTTAGGGTTTAGAGTCTGGGGTTTAGGGCTTAGGGCTTAGGGTTTCGGGAATCCTTAACACCCTAAACCCCAATCTCTAAGCCCTAGGCTCCAAACCGTGTAACCCTACGAAACACCCGAAAATTCCCTCTAAATCCATGAGCACGCTTGCCCCTTTAGATCTGCCAATGCAACGCAGCAAATCCTGAAAGCCGACACCCCCCCCCCCCCCCCCCCGCCTACACACAGCCTTACAAGTTGCCCTACAAGAGTTTATGGTTCGTATACCCGTTAAGGGTTTAGGCTGAGGGTTTATGGTACAGGGATTGTAGTCGTCTACGGTATATGCTCCCAAGTTAACCCTAAACGCTAAACCCTAAACCCTAAACCCTAAACCCTAAACCCTAAACCCTAAACCCGAAACCCTAAACCCCCAAAGGCCTTGGCAGTGGGTGAAGTGGCGGGCGCGGAGTTTTGGGTGTTCGAGGCGCTCGACGAATTCCAGCCGAACCGGACGACCTTCGGCGGCTGAGTATTGCCCGAAGCCCTAAGCCCTAAGCCCTAAGCCCTAAGCCCTAAGCCCTAAACCCTAAACCCCAAACCCTAAACCCTAAACCCTAAGCCCTAAGCCCTAAACCCTGAACCCTATACCCTAAACCCTAAACCCTGAACCCTATACCCTAGACCATAAACCCTATGCCTCCGAGGATCCAATCATTGTGTCCGGTGTTGCAATACCCCAAGCATTCGGTGCCCTGGAAGTAAAGGGTCGCAACTTGAGGGTCCGACTTAGGGTTTGGGTTGATGTATAAGTATTTAAAACTATTTGGTGATTTGGGGTTTAGGGTTTAGGGTTTGGGGTTTGGGGTTTAGGGTTTAGGGTTTAGGGTTTAGGGGAATTTGGCCCGATCATGAACAGTATGTAAGGTCCATGGGATGTTGGGGGTTCGGACTACTTACGACCTGAAAACATCCATAGTAGTGGCTGAAGATAAAGCCCTAAACCCTCTCAACCTACAGGTCCCATACCCAGGGGTCGGACCCACCGGACCCAGCTTTATCAAACCTGAAGACGAAAACATAACCCCTGGACCCTAAACGCTAAACCCGATGTCAAAACCCTGGAAGACCCCTACCTGCTGGCTCTTAGTCGGGAATGAAGGAATTGGGTTCCCCAAAGCCCCATATGGAGACCTTTCAAAAAGCGGTTCCGCGAGTGCCTAAATCCCTCATTCCCTGCTAAGAACAGTAAGTTTCAAAACCCAAACAACCCAAAACGCCGCACAAAACAGGATGAAAAGGCGCCCTGGAGGTTCAGAAGTTGAATTTAGGGTTTAGGGTTAACTTCGTAGCCCAGTACCCATATTACAACAAGGGTACCCGAACCTTGAACCCAAACAGGGCCAAAGGGTACTGGGCTGCCAAGTTAGGCTTTTTGGGTTCCCGGCCAAAGCTGTACAGTCGTCGTGGCTCTCCTTCTGCCTGGCACGCTTCACCAGGGCCTCTGCGTCAGGGTCTGGGGCCTAAAAATGAGCCACCCTCAGATTTCAGGGTTAGGGTTTAGGTTAGTTTAGGGTTAGGGTTTATATAAGAGTTACCCTTGAACGTAAACCCCTAAACCTCAGCCGTAGGTGTAGCCCCACACCCCCCCCCTCCTGCCGCTGCCCTCTGAAGGCTCCCAAAGTCCGAAATCCCGATGGCCTAACTCCCTCTGAACCCTCTAAACCGCCCAAGACCTAAACCCCAAACCTTCAGGCGGGCCTTTCCTCATGACCCACCCCCCGCCCCCCCAAAGCCCCTGAACCCAAAACTCCCCAAAGCAAAGCCGAGGTCTGCGTTGAAAGGACCTTCGAATCATAAAGGCTGGGTTTAGGGCTTAGGCCTTAGGAAGGTTGAGGGTTTAGGGTGTAGGGCTTAGGGTTTCTGTTTTTGCATGGGCTTCCGAAAATGTTTAAGGGTTTTGAGTGGGTTTTTATACCACTTTGATCGGGTTTGTGCAGGGTCTAGATAGGGATCGTCGAATCATAGGGCTTGTAGGGGCCTTGAAGGAATGAACGGTGACCATGTTTAAAACACGCGGGTTTTTAACTTCAGACTGCTGAAATGCATCTCGGCCATTTTCCCTGAATGTATTTAACTTTGATGCTCGGTAACAGAAACAAACTTAGCAAAGAATGCTTAATTTGAAAATAGGCTCCCCGCAAAAAAAGGCACAGCTTGGGAGTTGAGATCCGTCTGACGGGGTCCATGAGAACCCTCTCCCCAGTCGGCACACAGCTCCAAAAGTGTTTCACGCTCCAAGTGTTTCACGCCTGCAGGATGGGGTCGGATGCTTGCGAGGATGGGAGGAAGGGCCCCAGGCCGGTCAGGTTGCATCGACTTGCAACGATTATGCCCACGTCGCCGACGCGATGTTGGGCGAGAAATCCACGATGTACCGTTCCAAGCACTGCTGCTCAACAACCACCCATCGGCAACAAAGTCACCAACCCTTCTTTTCCACACGGCGTGTAGCTGCAGCGCCTGCAACGCCAGATTGATGGAAGCTGACGGGTTGGCCGACCCGAGCCGTTGCCACAGGTTCTTTTGACGGAGAACTGTGTTGGCCACCAAGACACCCAGAGACCCACCCGAGAGTAACACAAGGGTCGGGTCGGGGAGTGGCTCAGTGACCTGGCCGCTCGGCACACCATGTACGTGGCCAGCACGCGCAACATCCGGCTGTGCACAGACAGACATCACTGAGCGTCTGCTCAAATCTTTGCATGGCTGGGCTGTGAAAATGTTGTAGTTGCACCTTGCCACCCGGTCACGTGCCAGGCGTGGTTGCTTTAACGGCGTGAATGCACTGATTACGCCCAGCAGTCCAATCCCGTATCAGAAACACTGTTGCCGCCAAAACCAAGTAGCGGACGTTGGACGACCTGTAGGCCATTGGCAGCTTTTTCTGCCACTGGGGCGATGCACCCTCGGGTGGCATGGGCCCCATGGACTGCTGCTCTTCAGAAGAGAGTTCTGAAGTTTAAAAAAAGATGACCCCTGGGACGTAGAACGAATAAAACATGAGAATTAGTGAATGAAAGGAAAAGACTACATTTAATGAGTGTCTTAATGCCTGAATGAAAGAATCCTGCAAAAACCGTGGATGAACGAGCCCGCGAGGTAAAAATAATAATTTGCTAAGGGGCAAATGTGGTGCCCATACAAAATGTATCCCTTTGCCCGAGCTATGCTCTGAAGCCCTAAGTCCCCCTCCCCGCCCCCCCAAGTGCGCTCATCCCTAAACCCTAAACCCTAAACCCTAAACCCGAAACCCGAAACCCTAAACCCTAAACCCGAAACCCTAAACCCCAAAACTGCGAGCCTCGGCCGCCTTCTCCTCGCCCGCCCCCTCCTGGAGCTTCTGCCGCACCAGGGCAACCTCCGGTTTAAGGTGCATATGGGTTTAGGGTTTAGGGTTTAGGGTGTAGGGTTTAGGGTTGGGGGTTTAAGGTCTAATGTTTATTTAAGGTGTACAGGGTTTGGGGGTTCAAGGATTCAAGGTTTTAAGGAGTTTAGGGGTTTAAGAGGTTTAAGGGGTTTATAGGGTTTACAGGATTTAGGGGCACCCCTTAAGGATCTGGAGCGTGCTTGAAGGGATCCCGTCAGGGTACAACCTTACCGATAAGAGATTAGCTAGGGTTTTAGGGTTCCGGGTGCAGGATTTCAGGTTTAGGGCTTATCCCTTGAACTTGGAGCCTCACATTCCTAAAGCCTCCCGCAGCCTGCGCCCTAATCTTCAAGCCCAAACTCTTCACATGCTCTGCTTGCCCCTGATCTCCCCCTAAAAGCCCCAGGCCCAGTAAGCTCTTCCGTAACCCTCCCCCCCCCAAAAAAAATTTTCTGAAATTTACTGAAAACCCTGAAGGCCCCCAAACACCAAAAGCCCCTCGCGCCGACTCTTTGTCGGTCATGACGTCCCAGATGCCATCGGTGGCCAAGATCGCGAACCTGGGGGGGATCAGCCTATCGTTCTCCAGAAAAGTCGACCCCCAAACAAAACCCAAACTCGGGTGCTTAGGGTTTAGGGTTTCGGGCTTACAGGGCTTAACATAACTCTGCGGCGTTTTGATTTTTGCAGCATGGGCAATTGCCCTCTTCCACTCTGTCAACAAAAACAACGATGTCCTAAACCCTGAACCCTAAAACCTAAACCCTAACCCTAACCCTAAACCCTAAACCCCAAACCCCAAACCCCAAACCCTAAACCCAGTCCATGTCGGGATCTCAAGCCACAAATGCGCACTGTGGCTCCATGGTGGTCTCCATCCAACAAATCAACACTCTGCTCTCCAACACACAAAGGGTTTAGGGTTTAGGGTTTAGGGTTTAGCGTTTAGGGTTTAGGGTTACATACCACAGGTGCGGCGGGGTTCAGGTTCCCTCCTCAACCTAGACCCCCAAATTACTACTTGTCCAACAGGTTGCATTGATGGGGGAGCTGTGCCAGTTTAGGGCTTGGGGTGTGCCGGCCAGCAATAGTGTCCACTTATCAGGCATAGGGGGAGGGCCGGGGAAGGGCGGGGGGGGGGGGGGTGGTGCTCTTAAGAATTCCAAACACCTGAAACCTTATACGATCATCGCTTTAGAGTTTTGGCATGGAATGCTCGTGGCAACCGGGACACTCATCTTCATCCCAATCCACCTGCAACAGGCGATTAAGGGGAACGATGGGGGTGCAGGATAGAAGGTTGGGTGCAGGATTAGGAACTCTAAGGGTAGCTACATGGCCCCTTCGTATGGGCCCTTATAACTGAAAAGGGTATCCCTTAAACCCCCCTTACAAACCCTATACAAAATCAGGGCTCGCACATCAGAACCCTTGAGAGGATAGGGACCATGTTAAGGGCCGATGAAACTAACCTCAGAAGGAACCCTGCGCCCAGTAAGGGGCATGCTGCAACGTTAGGGATTCGGTCCGGATTCGGGTCTAAGGGATCAGGTTTGGGCAAGGTTTAGGTTCAAGGGTGTTGAGTGTGGGAGCGGGAACGCTAAACCCTAAACCCTAAACCCCGTGCCACACCCCTGGCTTAGGGTTTAGGGTCATGTCCCGCCTTAAGCCCTAAATCCCTAGACCCACTAAACCCAAAGCGCGACCTTGGAGTCCGGTTTATGGTTCATGTACCCTAATTAATAGGCATGCATTAGAATAGCGCGGGGTATCTGACCCCCAGTTTTAAGGCTCATGTGGTCTTCAAGGCCTAACCTAAACCCTAAACCCTAAAACCTCATTAAGCCCTAAACCCTACAAACTCCAAAAAGCCCCGAGCCCCGCCTCATGGACGGTGATCTCAGGCTCCGCGCTGACGATATCAGGCCCTGAGAACGAGATTACGAGTGCCGAGCCCACCGATCAACCCTGAGCCCTAAACCGGGCTTAGGGTTTATGATTTAGGGTTCACCCCCCTGGTTCCTAGTAGAACTACCCTTTTTTGGCACTATAGAGGCCCTCATTCCCGCATTCCCGACTAAGAACCATAAACCTTGAAGCCACTAAAGCGCACAATCCCGCGGTTAGGGGAAGGGGAGGCTTGGGACTTAAGGTTATAGTTAGGGTTTAGGGTTTAGGGTTTAGGGGTTTAGGGGTTTAGGGGTTTAGGGTTTAGGGTTTAGGGTTTAGGGTTTAGGGTTTAGGGTTTAGGGTTTAGGGTTTAGGGTTTAGGATCTGAAGGGTCTTAGTGGTGCAGGGTTAGGGTGTGGGGTCCTGAGGTCCTAGGGTCGTAGGAAAAAGGAGCAGGCGGAATCTATACACATGTACACACACTCACCTAATAACAACAATACAGACCCTACCTCACCCTAAACCCCAAACCCCAAACCCTAAATCCTAAACCCTAAACCCCGAAACCCTTCCCTATGTACCCCCTGGATACCCCCTAAGGTCTCTTATAAGGGTTCCTCCTTTCGTTCTTTGATACACTCGACCCTAACCGAAACCTACCTTTTTGTGGGTTCCTAACAACCTGCAAAAGGGGTCTTAGAGCAATAACCTACAATAGCCTTTGTGCACTTAAGATAAAGCCTGATCCATAAACCCTAAACCCCAAACCCTAAACCCCTTCCGCGTGCACAAGAAGGGAATCATGCGCTTTAGCCTATGGTGTTTTGCTCTTGACGTCTTGCAAAGCTCTTACAAAAAGTTCTCGAGTTGGGGGCTTCTAGAGTAGTCTCAGATTTAGTCTTCCAAGTGTGGGCCCTTCAAGTGGGTCCCTTGTTATATAACTCTTTCTTTTCTACACTACATAGGGATAATGCTAAGGGCCCACGGTTGGAACCTTAGGTTGGAGGTCTTAGGGTAGTTGCATGGTCCCTTAGCGAGGAAGCTTCCCCCAAGCTTGTGGTTGGGGGAAAGAAAATACCCTAAACTAAACCCTAAGCCCAGTGTACTAGCTTGTATTAAACCCTAAACCCTAAACCCTAAACCCTAAACCCTAAACCCTAAACCCTAAACCCTAAACCCTAAACCCTAAACCCTAAACCCTAAACCCTAAACCCTAAACCCTAAACCCTAAACCCTAAACCCTAAACCCAAACCCTAAACCCTAAACCTTGAAGTCACACTAGCCACTAGCCCAAGAATAACCCATGTCATGCCCTCAGACACTAGAAGCATCCAAAACTACGCCAAGCGACCGATCTTTTGTTCAATAGGCCAGCCCCTATAAGCCCTAATTCCCTGAGGACCAAATGAACCCGAAAATTGGGGGTCATATACCCTACTCTAATACTATTCCGATTAAGGTATGAGAACCATAAACCCTTTTAGGCTCATTTGGTTCCCAAGGTTAACCCCGAAACTGCCGCCCTGCGCTGCGCCCTGGCCTTTGAAATCCTTGTCGCCGAAACTCCGCGACACCGCCAGGCCGGCAATCTTGCTCAGGATTCCTGGATTTGGGTTTAGGGTTTAGGGTTTAGGGTTTAGGGTTTAGGGCTTAGGGCTTAGGGTTTAGGGTTTAGGGTTTAGGGTTTAGGGTTTAGGGTTTAGGGTTTAGGGTTTAGGGTTTAGGGTTTAGGGTTTAGGGTTTAGGGTTTTAGGGTTTAGGGTCGATGGGACCTTTTACGGGAATGTAGGGGGGAGGGGGCTATAGGGTCGTGGGGCTGCGTATGCTTGAACTTGGGGTTTAAGGGGGGCCGGGGGGGGGGGTTGGGGCTTGATCTCATGTTGGAGCACAACGCTCACCAAACGAAACCCGAAACCACAAAGCCATCAGCCTTCAGGGTTTGGGGTTTAGGGTTAGGGCTTAGGGCTTAGGGCTTAGGGCTTGGGGCTTAGGGCTTAGGGCTTAGGGCTTAGGGTTTAGGGTTTAGGGTTGAGGGTTCAGGGTTTAGGGTTCAGGCTTTAGGCTTCAGCCTCCGTGTGGACCAAATGAACCCTAAAAGGGCTTGTGGTTCATGTACCCGAAAAGCGAGTACCCTAAGGGTCCATGCACCTTACTATCATGTACTTGGGCCCTAAAGTCCCTAAATAAGAGGTACTTTAAGGCCCAAGTATGCCATATTTAGGTACATGGGCGCTTAGGGTTATAGTACCATAGGGTGCATGACCCCAGTCTCGGGGTTCATCCTCGTCCCCAAGGTCTCAGCCCTCCAGCCGAAACCCTGAACTCTGAAAGATGGGAGCCCTAAACATGGCAACCCCAAACCCTAAACCCACCGGGAAGCTCGCACTAAACCCTAAACCCAAAACCAGCGCCAAACCCTGAACCCTAAACCCCAAATCCCAAACCCTAAACCACCCAAAGCCCCGAAAGCTTTCTGCCTGTACTAAAAGCCCAGAAAGCCTCAAGCCCTCGTGAGATGGGGCTCTGCGGTTTTGGGTCTATGGTTTAGGGTATTTAGGGATTTCCAAAAAAGGCTAAATCAAGCCTCCAGGTACACCCCTAGAACCTGCACGAACGGCTCGGGGTCACCCAAAAGGCCTCTAACCGCCCAGCAGAGGCATATCTAGAGTCCATCCGATCCCGAAAGCTCACCCTAAACCCTAATCCCTAAACCGTTTAGGTCTCACGGTTAAGGCCACACCCAGGGCCCCGGCGCTTCTTCTGGGGAAGCACCGCCCGCCAGACGCCGGCCACTTCCACCACACCGCCATCCGCAGCCTCCGCGCGAGGCGGGTGGAAGCCGAATCGTCGGTTTCTGGGCTGGTTTGGGGTTTAGGGCTGGTCTGGGGTTTAGGGCTGGTTTGGGTTTAGGGCTGGTTTGGGGATGGATGATGCTCGAATAGACTGCAATGAAGGGCCTTCGAATCTAGAAGACTCAGGGGCGCTGAGGCTACTACTGGCTTAGGGTCTAGGGTTTCGGGGCTTTAGGGTGTCGGGCTTTGGGCTTTGGGCTTTGTATGAAGTATGGCTTTCATTTCTAGTCTCCCCCAAAATAACACCAATCACTCATCGACATTTGTAAGGAACCTGCACGCATTAAAGCCCTAAAGAGCGAAAACCCCAGGGAAAGCCCCGAAACCCCAAACCCCAAAACTCCACTGAACCTAGAGGAAAAGCCCGAAATCCGAAGCCTCTAAATGCTCAGACCTAGACTCCCCTAAACCCTAAACCCTAAACCCTAAACCCTAAACCCTAAAATGGGTCCCTGATGACCTCGATTCGCTTCTTCTCAGCTGGCAGGTTCGGCTTATGGTCCTTCCGACGTCGGTTCTCTTATTTTGTTTTCGTTGGGGGGGGGGGGGGGGGGGGGGGGGGTTAGGGTTTAGGGTTTAGGGTTTAGGGTTTAGGGTTTAGGGTTTAGGGTTTAGGGTTTGGGGTTTGGGGTTTGGGGTTTGGGGTTTAGGGTTGAGGTTTTAGGGTTTGGGGTTTAGGGTTTAGGGTTACAGGGAGTATTTTCAGGGTTTGGGGCTTGAGGTTGTAGGGTTGTTGCAGAGCCGGACCCTTATTCACTAAGAGGTTTAGGTTTCGGCTTGGATTTATTTAGGTAGGGTGTAGAGTTTGGGGCTTAGGGCTGAGGGCAAGTGATAGGCGTGTGAACAAGATAGAAGCTCCAACGCTCGGAGCCCTAAAGCAAAGACTCCAGCTATACAGGATACACGGGAGGGTTGTTCGAAACCATGGTTCACTTGGGTGTTTGTGTACCTTAAGCACGGGGTCCGAAATCCAGAGGCAGTCAGAAGTAGCAACAAAAGCTAGGAAACCTGCCGACGCAGTGTCTTTAAGCTCCGTGTGGCGCAGGTCTACTTCGCAACACCAAACCCGAAACCCTAAACCCCTTTGGACTAATGAACCTTAGAAAGTCCCCTAAACCCTAAACCCTAAACCCTAAACCCTAAACCCTAAACCCTAAACCCTTAACCCTAAACCCTAAACACTACAAACCCTAAGCCCCGAAAATCCTCTGTAAGACGTATGGCCGTGCCGCCGCCGGTGCCTACAGCAGCGGAGGCTTTCGGGCTGAGGTTGGCCTTAAAAATCCGAAGCCTACCGTTTGGTAGCTAAACCCTAAACCCTAAACCCTAAACCCTAGGTCCCCCAACTCGTGGTCTCTTTGATTGAAACCCCCCCCCCCAGTATTGCATGGGCTTGTGGTTCAAAGGTGTGGGCTTAGGGTGCCGAAATAAGGAATTTTGGGGTTCTAAGGTTTTTAGCTTGAGGCCAGAAATCGGGGTAGCGCCTCCAGGCGTGGCGCTTCTATGATGGGGTTCAGGGGCATGTGGCCGGGGGTTTCGAGTTGCACCCTTGGAGATTTCCAAGAATTCCTGCTGTGCCCAGTCCCCCCCCTAAAAAGAAAGGTACAGGTTGACCGACCCTCTGCCCTGAAGCCTGAACTCCTGCACCCTTATGCCGAAACCCGGCACGCTGCAGCCGTCACATATGAACCCCCAAACCTCTGCCTGACGGGTGATTGTAGATGGGGGTGATTAGTTGAAGGGCTCTATAGGTTGTGGGTCTTGCAGACTTTTGGGATCATGGCTACCATTTGCTGAAGAACCCCCCCCCCCCCCCCACCACCAAAAAAAACAAAACAAAAACAACATACATATGTATATATAGGTATACATATATATATATATATACATATATGTACATATATATAAAGCAGCAATAGTCATGCAAGTAAAAATAACAATGATCCCTATATTTGCCTTACAAGATTTTTTTGATTTCTTGCTGGGGCTCTTCAGCAAAGAGTACGTAGATGCTCTATGGGGCTCTACCTGTAGCCGCCCCAAAAACGACATCCGTAACGTTCTTCCCATGCTTTCCTTAGTGTGAGTTCTGAAAATTATTGTCGCCATTTTTGTGTACCCTAAATGTTCGGGCCGCCTTATCATCGTAACCCTAAAAGGGGCCCTCATTTAGAGAGGTGAGCTTATGTGTGTCTTTTAGAACCTGTGCAGATGCTTTTGGGCTACAAGCACGGTCCCAGCATTGAAGGCACAGGGTTGGGATGAATCCTACACCCTAAACCCTAATCCAACCCTAAACCCTAAACCCTAAACCCTAACCCCTGAACCCTAGTTAGTACAAGGGGGAACATCCCAAGCGGTTTCTAGGCTTCAGCCCTCAATACGCCAAGGCCGATGCACAGGACGGCTCGTGAATCTCCACCTCTGCGAGGCGGTGGCTTTGGGGGCTTGGGGTTTAGGGCTTAGGGTTTGGGGCTTCTGGTTTATTGTTTAGGGTTTTAGGCTTTTAGCCGTTAAGGTTTGGGGCTTGGGGTTGCGGAGGGGGGGGGGGCTTTGAGGCTTGGGGCTCTAGAGTCAGCCCTAAGCCCTAAAAGCATAATCCCCATTTTTGTTTTTCGTCAAGCATCAATCGCTGTCCTGGATCGGTACGAGGCTGTAGGTAGGTTTCTCGGGTGTTCGGGCTTCAGGTTTCAAGATTTGGAGGCTTTGGCGCTGTTGGGTTCTGGATTTCGGCTGTCGATGGAAAGAGCCCCCAAGACTCAGACTCTTGTGACCAGCCCCAAACGGCTCCAAAAAGAATGCCCTCGCTGATCACCAGCAGCTGAGAGACCTTCAAAACCCGAAACCCTAAACCCTAAACCCGAGGCCCTAAACGCTAAACCCTAAATCCTATAAGCCCTAGGCCCTAAACCCTACAGCCCTAACCGTGCGCCCGTAGGGCCAAAGACCTGCTGACACTACGTGGCGCCTCACTCGAACCAAGGTTCCACGCCTCCCTAGCCCCTAAACTCTAAACCTTGAACCCTAAACATATTCCCTCACCCTACCCTAAACCCCTAAACCCCTAAACCCCTGAACCCTGAACACCCTAAACCCTTAACCCTTAACCCTTAACCCTAAACCCTAAACCCTAAACCCTCCACCCCTGCTCAAAGCACACGAGGTCCGGGCAGTTGGCCATAAACAGCCGCAGCCGCATCTGCTCGTCAGGGCCGAATACAGTCATGGTGCAAGCCTTGCAGGTCCAGAAGGCTCAGGGATTCTGCTTATTATTGGTATTATGTTGTTCTTCATCATTATGAATCATTGTTTGTTTATTATGAGAAAGGTTCTTACTAGTGTTATTCTTCATTATCAAGTGCTTTTGGTAAGTGTGCTTACAAATATTGCAAAGACTAGTGGAAACCATATTTATAATCATGGCAATATCGAGAATACTGATGATTATAACCCATTATTGTAGTAGGGTTTGGCTTAGGGCCTTTGTGTTCAAGCGTCCTTGAGTGCATCCTCTGTAGCTCTTGTGTTGCTAAGCCTGAAAACCTGCCTAAACGAAGAACTCCCCCCCCCCCCCCCAGATGCTTGAAAGGGTTCATAGGGTTCGGGTTTAGGTTGTGGCCCTCAACCCTAAACCTTAAACCCTGAACCCCAGAGCCTCAAAAGACCCACGTTCAAACCGCGACGGGGTATTGTACAGGGTTTAAAAAGGGCCCTGAAGTGTACCCCCCCCCCCCCCCCCCCCCCCCCCCCCCCCCCCCCCCCCGGCAATAACCTAAACTCTACACCCTGAGCCCTCTAGCCCTGAACCACCAACACTACCCGTACCCTGAGGCCCTTAGGACCCAGGCAGTGCTACCCGAGCTGTCGTCGGTCTTCTTGGCATGCCTCGGATGGAAGGTTTGGGGTTAAGGGTTTAGGGCTTTCATAAGGCTTAGGGTTAGTTTAGGGTTTAGGAGTTGAGGGTTTAGGGTTTTCATAGGGTGGCAAGAAATTTAATGTGGTATACCAGGAAGCTACCATTCATAAACTCACAGGCGCACATTGCTTTTGTTGGGGCCCTTTCCTTCCGCTTGGCCTGCCGCTGTTCTCGCACGGCCTCCTTTTCAAGGTTTAGAGTTTAGGGTTTAGGGTTTAGGGTTTTGGGCCATCGTCTCCTTGTGCATGTTCTCTGCCTCCTCCGCTTCATGTTCCTCGAAGATTTTTGCCAGCTTTCGATCGTCTGCCAACCCGGGGCACCAGCGCGGACTTACGAAGACTTCGAAACTCTAGGGGTGCAAGAAAGGCTTAGAGCTTAGGGCTTAGGGTCTAGGGTTTAGGGCTATCAGAAAGGTTGTAGGTCCTCATGCGAGTCTGCAAACCATTTTGGTTGAGGCTCCAGGAACCATGCAGGGCCTTTTGTTCGAGGGGTTTAGGGGGTTCTAGGTCCCTTGAGACCCTTACCAAAGCTTAGGGAGCCTTATGGGGGAGTGGGAAGTGTTAGGGAACCTTGGGTTACATACCCCCCTTGAACCCTAAATCCTAAACCCTACACCCTACACCCTGAACCCTAAACCCTAAACCCTAAACCCTGAACCCTAAACCCTAAACCCTAAACCCTAAACCCTAACCCCTTGACCCCCCCCCTCCCTTAAGAACCCCCTAACTTGCAGCTGAAGTGGCTGGAGGAAGTTGTGCTCCGTCTGCTTGAAGCCGGCCGCGATGGCGGTCTTCACAGCCACCTCCATAGCTACTGTTTGCTTAAGATTCCCCCCCGAAAAATAATCAAGATTCGAACTTCCTTTAAGGGTAAGATAGGGATTGTTACAACTGTTTGTGTGTTTTTTTTGTCTGGGGGGGGGGGGGTTCTTAAGCAAATGGTGGACAGAAGGGGTCAGTTTGCCGGTGGGGATGTCTACGTGAAGTCAACAGCAGACGGACCGCTCCAAGTCAAGTAACCCTAAACCCTAAACCCTAGACGCAGAACCCTAAACCCTAAACCCACAGGAAAAGTTGCGGTCTTTCGAAACAGCATAGCTGCAGCCGAGCCCGTCAAAGAGCTTAAGTCGGGCTTAAGGTTTAGGGTTTAGGGTTTAGGGTTCAGGGTTTAGGGTTTGGGGTTTAGGGTTTAGGGTTTAGGGTTTAGGGTTTAGGGTTTAGGGTTTAGGGTTTAGGGTTTAGGGTTTGCCCTCTATGTGGCTTTGGAAAATCTCAGCTTGCTCAGCTTTGTATGGCTTGGAAATCTCAGCTTGCTCAGCTTTTTATGGGTTGGAAATATCAACTTACTCAGCTATGGGATTTCGGATGCTGGGCTTATACATTTTACAGGGCATTGAGGGTTTAGGGTTGAGGGTTGAGGGTTTAGGGTTTAGGGACCCTGCTACCCTGCGACCCCTCCCCGCCCTCCCCTCCACCTCCCGCGCGCCTCGTCGCTGACATTTGTCGCGCGATCTCGCAGGCGCGCTAGGATGTTCTTGGCCAAGTGGGTGGACTGAGCGCGGCTGTTTGGGCATTCAGGCTTGGGCACAGCTAATTATTTCTATTACGGCGATTCTCTTCTTCTTTTGTACGTTTAGTATTAGTACCATGATGATTTCTCTTAGTACTGTTCGGAATACTTATTCTTTTCATTACGACTTGCTCGGGCTCCCAGTGACCGTCCACTCGAAGGTTCAGTGTAGCGGTAAACAAGGCAACCTGTAGCATATCCTTGATTCAGGGCACTGTTAACTTGCCTAGACACCCCAAACCGCCTAAACCCCAAACCCTAAACCTAAACCCCAAACCCAAACCCCAAAACCTAAACCTTAACCCCCAATCCCTACTGAGCTTCAAGCAAGGTGGCCCCTCAATGAATTAACCCTCCTGGGGCTGCCTCACTGGTGGGACGGCACAATCCGGCAGAATTGAATCCCTAAACCCTAAGCCCCCAAACCCCCAAACCCCCAAACCCCCAAACCCCTAAACCCAAAACCCAAGACCCTAAACCCTAAACCTAAACCCTAAACCCTAAACCCTAAACCCTAAACCCTAAACCCTAAACCCTAAACCCTAAACCCTAAACCCTAAACCCTAAACCTAACCCTAAACCCTAAACCCTAAACCCTAAACCCTAAACCCTAAACCCTAAACCCTAAACCCTAAACCCTAAACCCTAAACCCTAAACCCTAAACCCTAAACCCTAAACCCTAAACCCTAAACCCTAAACCCTAAACCCAAATTAAACCCGAAACCCAAGACCCCAAATCCACAACTTCGGCCCAGGGGGCCACGTGCTCCGCGCAGTAGGGCCCGCCATGGCCGTCGAAGACGGCATGGAAGACGCACGTCGCCGTCTCGCCGAGCCTTTGCGACTCTTTGCTTAAGACTCGTCGCCTCCCCCCCCCGCCCCCCCCCCCCCCCCCCCCCCCCGGCAAAAAAAGATACATACATATATACATATATATATATACATACATATGTGTATATATATATATATATGTATGTATATATACATATATACAAAATAGTCTCTAGACTACCCTTATAAGGAAAACATTAGACAATCATCCCTATCTCACCCGTCTAATGAAGGAAACTATCTTTATTTTTCATTGTTAACATTGCTTTTCGTTTGGGGGTTTCTGAAGCACAAAATAATTCATCGCGAATTCAACCGTCTAATTCATTTGATATTTCTCATTCACTCCTCACTGAGGGGAAGGTGAGCATGCAAACCCTAAATACCCAAAACGCTGCCCCCCCACCGCAAACCCGCAAACCCACAAACCCGCAAACCCGCAGACCCGCAAAACCCAAAACTCTGAGCCCTAAACCCTCAACAATAAACCCTAAAACCACTAAAACCCCAAACCGGGCTTTGGGGCGGTCGCGCCCTGAAGCCTCGACTGAGATGGCGGCACATTGATCGGCAACTTCAGCTTGTCTACCAAGAAGTCTTCCATACTTTCCTTCCCTGAGGGTTTTAGGGTTGAGGGTGTGGGGTTTAGGGTGTTGGGTTTAGGGTTTGAGGTTTATAACGGTTGAGGGTTTAGGTTTAGGGTGTGGGGTTTAGGTTATGAGGTTTATAACGGCCTAGGGTACAGGTTTAGTGTTTGGGGTTTGGGGTTGATGAGGGTTTGGGGTTGAGGGGTTCGGCTGGGGGTTTCGGGTTTGGGGTTTAGGGTCTCGGGTCTAAAGTTAGGGTTTAGGGTGTAGGGTTGAAGGAGGTGTTTCCAAGGGAGGGGTGCATCTCAAGCCCAAAATCCTACAAGCCCTAAACAGCTCAACCCCTAAACCCTAAGCCCTAAACCCTAAACCCCTCAAACCCCTCAAACCTCAAACCCCTCAAACCCCCAACCAAACCCACCTCCACCCTAAAATCCCTTGCATCCCGAAAAAGCCACAAGACCCAAGAACTCAGAGCCGAGATACCCCCCCTAAGACCCCTAAAACCCACAAAGCCCGAACTCCCCCCGACCCTAATCCCTAAACCTTAAAATCCTCCCCGAAGAGCCTGTACCTCCCATGCCCCCCCCCCCACCCCTGCCCACGCCCCTCTGCACGCTCGACTCGAAAACCCCAACAAAGACCCGAAACCCTAAACGCCCGGCCGCGCACCTGCAGCCTTATCTTGGCAGAAGCCACACCTGATGCTAGCGCCGAAGAGAGCTTGGGGAGGGTGGAGGCGGGGTAGGGTCAGGGTTTGGGGGGGGGGGTAGATGTTGAGTGTGTGGCTAAACCCTAAACCCTAAACCCTAACCCCTAAGCCCTAAACCCTGAGCCCTAAACCCCAAACCCTAAACCCCAAACCCTAAACCCTAAACCCTAAAGGCTTGTAGGTGGTCTTTTGCTGGCTCTCGCTGGCTTAGGCCCTTCAGGTCGCCGTTGGCGAAAGAATTTTTCAGGAACCGGTGGTTAGGGTTTAGGGTGTAGGGTTTAGGGTTTCGAGGGTTTCGGGTTTACGGTTTCCATTTGCTACTTCGGCCACTTCGGCCGCGCAACTTCGGAAGCATGAAATGCAAAGTAGTACTCAGGCAGCGTCCTCACTTTCCTCAGCAGCTCTGCAAGTGCTTGAAAGCCGCGCTGGGCACGGCGGCCACTTTGAACCTGGTGCTGTCCGCTGGGCACACCTCCAAATGCAGCAGGCCATCTCTCTTGCGCTGTTGGATGTCCTCTTCCAGCATTTCTTCAACCGACACGCCATATGCATTTTGAACATAAAACCGGAAGCAAACGCGGGAGTTGGCATCCTCAACGCTGTCGAAGGAGGAGTCAAACTCGATGGGCGGAGGCCCCATGTAGCCATGAAACCCGTCGGGGTCATACCCATCTGACGTCCACACCACATACTTGAGCAGCTTTTGCCGGTTACGATTGACGGCAGGGGGCTGCCGGAACTTCTCCGGAATATGTTGCATCTGCATGATGTCTCGCACCCTTGCAAGGTTAGCTTCTTCCCTGCGGCGACGTTCGTTGTCCTTGGCTGCTCGCGCGCGATCCCTGAACTGCTGCTCTTTCTGCTGCCGGTCCTTTGTTGGCAGCGAGTACAAGTGCACACATGAGTCGCAAGCGTCAAAATCACAGGCTTCACACGTTCTAAATGGCATGTGGTTGCAATCTACGCCATGCAGTAGACATCGTCGCTGGTGACGTCGCGGAGAGCCGTGGAGCACCATGTCTTCAGATGCAGCCATGGGACACTTGTGAACTCGAGGCAGGTGGTGAACATGCAAAGGAAGTTGTGATGCCCTTTCCATCTCACGCCTCTGAATTTTCCGCCTCATCTCATTTTCGCGCTCCTTCTTCCGCAACTCATCAATCTCTAGTTGCCGCTTCTTCTTGTCTGACTCCATCATCTCTTTGATTTTCATCAATCGTTGATACTCTGCAGTCCCACACAAATAGAAAGTGTTCTCGCCCAGCAAGTCGAGCAGATCTTGCTTTTTCTTTCAAGCCGATTTTGGCAGGCCTCGAAAGTGGCACTCTTCCCGTAGCTCCGCCATGGTGAGAGATGAAGAAATTCGTGGCAGGTGGGCAGTATCTATCACACAGCCATCGTCATTCGTCGGCTTGCGCTTGGCCGGCTTGGCCGGCAGCTTTGGCTTGGGCGCTGCCTTCCGCTTAGGAGGCATGCTGCTATCCGACTGAAGTATAGGGGTCGGAATAATTACTAATAAGATTCCCTTCATGGCCCCTTTGTAATTATACTACAAGTACTATAGGAACCCCCAAAAACCCTATTCTAATTACTCTGGCCCTTGTATTACGCGACAGCTGTTGCTACTTGTATCTTCCGGTGTTGCCTCTCAGTTCCGGTGCCTATATGGACGCGGAAAGGCCCTTGCGGCGCGTCACCCCCCCAAAATTGCCCCAAGACTGCCAATCTACAACCTTAAACCCTAAACCTAAACCCTCAAACCCTTAAACCCTAAACCCTAAACCTTAAACTCTAAACCCTAAACCCTTCAGCCCTAAACCCTAAACCAATCAGTCGGCTTGGTGAGCCAAGACACAGTATGGCCATGCAACACAACCTGCTAAGCTACGGGGGTGTATTTACGGAAGCTCCTGAAGGCTTGACGGTGCGTACTCGGTTGTTCATCTTGGTTGTCCAGTAACCTGGGGGAATTATAAAGGTTAACCTTTGGGAAGATAAGGGGATTACATTACCCAAAAAAGGTTAAAAGGTTACCTACTCTACTGCCAGGTCATAGCGTGTGGAGTGTTAAGGGAGGAGCAGGGGTTAGGGGCACTCGGATGCTTTGAGATGTAGGGGTTGAATGCAGACGGTTTCAGGGGCGTTGATGGCTCGGGGCCTTTGAAGCACTGGTGTTGAAGCATCTAGGGTGTTACCCAGTAGTCATACCGAAGCGTGCCAAAGATCTATTTTTGCAGTTCGAGGTCGCAGAGCAGGGAACCTAAACCCTATTTAAACCCTGGGCCCTAAAATCTAAACCCTTTGACACACAAACCACGGAGTAAAGTCCAGAGCCACTAGACCTAGGAGTAACCTAGGACTGAAAAGGTGCCATCTTTGGGTTTTACGGGGATTACAAGGGAGCCCCGGTTTAGGGTTTAGGGTTTAGGGTTTAAGGTTTGGGGTTTGGGGTTTAGGGTTTAGGGCCTATTCCGGGTCCTATAGGCCACAAGCTCGAAAGCTTGAACTCAGGAACCGGCTGTAGCCCCTCCTCGACGTCAACCTCCACTGAGGAGGCCTGCAGTGTTGGGGTTTCGGGAAGTTCAGAGTTGAGGGTTTAGGGGTATAGGGGTATAGGGGTATGTATGTAGGACCTTTATGCGTTATTTGACGGTCCTGCTTCGCCTTCCAAAACTTTAAGGATTTTAAGGAATTTAGGGGTTTTCCAAAATTTTAAAAGGACCACAAAATCCTTAAAATTTTGAAAGCCCGGACCTTTCAAAATTTTAAGGATCTTAAGGAATTTAAGGCCTTTTAAATTTCTTAAAATCCTTAAAATCCTTAAAATCCTTAAAATCCTTAAAATCCTTAAAATCCTTAAAATTTTGAAAGAAAATTAAATCATTTTCCGGAAAGAGGCAGGCCCATTTAAAATTTTAAAAATCCTTAAAATCCTTAAAATCCTTAAAATTTTGAAAGCCAGGGCCTTTCAAAATTTTAAGGATTTTAAGGAATTTAAGGCCTTTTAAATTTCTTAAAATCCTTAAAATCCTTAAAATTTTGAAAGAAAATTAAATCATTTTCCGGAAAGAGGCAGGCCCATTTAAAATTTTAAAAATCCTTAAAATCCTTAAAATCCTTAAAATTTTGAAAGCCCAAGCCTTTCAAAATTTTAAGGATTTTAAGGAATTTAAGGCCTTTTAAATTTCTCAAAATCCTTAACATCCTTAAAATCCTTAAAATTTTGAAAGAAAATTCAATTATTTTCCGGAAAGAGGCAGGCCCATTTAAAATTTTAAAAATCCTTAAAATCCTTAAAATCCTTAAAATTTTGAAAGGTTGGGGCTTTCAAAACTTTAAGGATTTTAAGGAATTTAAGGCCTTTTAAATTTCTTAAAATCCTTAAAATCCTTAAAATTTTGAAAGAAAATTAAATTATTTTCCGGAAAGAGGCAGGCCCATTTAAAATCTTAAAAATCCTTAAAATCCTTAAAATCCTTAAAATTTTGAAAGCCCGGGCCTTTCAAAATTTTAAGGATTTTAAGGAATTTAAGGCCTTTTAAATTTCTTAAAATCCTTAAAATCCTTAAAATTTTGAAAGAAAATTAAATATTTTCCGGAAAGAGGCAGGCCCATTTAAAATTTTCAAAAATCCTTAAAATCCTTAAACTCCTTAAAATTTTGAAAGCCCGGCCTTTCAAAATTTTAAGGATTTTAAGGAATTTAAGGCCTTTAAATTTTCAAAATCTTAACATCCTTAAATCCTAAATTTTGAAAGAAAATCAATTATTTTCCGGAAGAGGCAAGGCCCATTTAAATTTTAAAAATTCCTTAAACCCTTAAAAATTTTGAAAGGTGAGGTTGGGGATTTTCAAAAACTTTAAGGATTTTTTAAGAATGTAAAGGCCTTTTCCCTTTCTTAAAATTCCTTTAAAATCCTTAAAATTTGAACGAAAATTAAATTATTTCCGGAAAGAGGCAGGCCCATTTAAAATTAAAAAATCCTTAAAATCCTTAAAATCCGTTAAATTTTGAAAGCCCGGGCCTTTCAAAATTTTAAGGATTTTAAGGAATTTAAGGCCTTTTAAATTTCTTAAAATCCTTAAAATCCTTAAAATTTTGAAAGAAAATTAAATCATTTTCCGGAAAGAGGCAGGCCCATTTAAAATTTTTAAAATCCTTAAAATCCTTATAATCCTTAAAATTTTGAAAGGTTGGGGCTTTCAAAATTTTAAGGATTTTAAGGAATTTAAGGATTTTTGAAATTTTAAATGGGCCTGACTCTTTCCGGAATATATTTTAATTTTATTTCAAAATTTTAAGGATTTTAAGGATTTTAAGAAATTTAGAAGGCGTTAAATTCCTTAAAATCCTTAAAGTTTTGAAAGCCCCAACCTTTCAAAATTTTAAGGATTTTAAGGATTTTAAGGATTTTTAAAATTTTAAATGGGCCTGCCTCTTACGGAAAAATAAATTTATTTTCTTCAAAATTTAACGGATTTTAAGGATTTTAAGAAATTAAAAGGCCCTTAAATTCCTTTGTTTATTTTTGTTTTGTAAAATCCTTAAAATTTTGAAAGGCCCGGGCTTTCAAAATGTTAAGGATTTTAAGGATTTTAAGGATTTTTAAAATTTTCAATGGGCCTGCCTCTTTCCGGAAAATGATTTAATTTTCTTTCAAAATTTGAAGGATTTTAAGGATTTTAAGGATTTTAAGAAATTTAAAAGGCCTTAAATTCCTTAAAATCCTTAAAATTTTGAAAGGCCCGGGCTTTCAAAATTTTAAGGATTTTCAGGATTTTAAGGATTTTTTAAATTTTAAATGGGCCTGCCTCTTTCCGGAAAATGATTTAATTTTCTTTCAAAATTTTAAGGATTTTAAGGATTTTAAGGATTTACGAAATTTAAAAGGCGTTTAAATTCCCTTAAAATCCTTAAAAATTTGAAAGCCAAACCTTTCAAAAATTTAAGATTTTTAGATTTAAGGATTTTTAAATTTAAAATGGGCCTGCCTCTTTACGGAAAATGATTTATTTTTCTTCAAAACTTTATTTTAAGGATTTAAGGGATTTTAAGAAATAAAAGGCCTTTAAAACCCGTAATCCAAAATTTTTTGAAAGGCACGGGCTTGCAAATGTAAGGATTTAAGGATTTTAAGGATTTTTTAAATTTTAAATGGGCCTGCCTCTTTCCGGAAAATAATTCAATTTTCTTTCAAAATTTTAAGGATTTTAAGGATTTTAAGGATTTTAAGAAATTTAAAAGGCCTTAAATTCCTTAAAATCCTTAAAATTTTGAAAGCCCCAACCTTTCAAAATTTTAAGGATTTTAAGGATTTTAAGGATTTTGAAATTTTAAATGGGCCTGCCTCTTTTCGGAAAATGGATTAAATTTTCTTTCAAAATTTTTAAGGATTTTAAGGATTTTAAGGATTTTAAGAAATTTAAAAGGCGTTAAATTCCTTAAAATCCTTAAAATTTTGAAAGGCCCGGGCTTTCAAAATTTTAGGATTTTAAGGATTTTTAAAATTTTAAATGGGCCTGCCTCTTTCCGGAAAATAATTTAAATTTCTTTCAAAATTTTAAGGATTTTAAGGATTTTAAGGATTTTTAAAATTTTAAATGGGCCTGCCTCTTTCCGGAAAATAATTTAATTTTCTTTCAAAATTTTAAGGATTTTAAGGATTTTAAGGATTTTAAGAAATTTAAAAGGCGTTAAATTCCTTAAAATCCTTAAATTTTTGAAAGCCCCAACCTTTCAAAATTTTAAGGATTTTAAGGATTTTAAGGATTTTTAAAATTTTAAATGGGCCTGCCTCTTTCCGGAAAATGATTTAATTTTCTTTCAAAATTTTAAGGATTTTAAGGATTTTAAGGATTTTAAGAAATTTAAAAGGCGTTAAATTCCTTAAAATCCTTAAAATTTTGAAAGCCACAACCTTTCAAAATTTTAAGGATTTTAAGGATGTTAAGGATTTTTAAAATTTTAAATGGGCCTGCATCTTTCCGGAAAATAATTTAATTTTCTTTCAAAATTTTAAGGATTTTAAGACTTTAAAATGCCTTAAATTCCTTAAAATCCTTAAAAAAGGTCCGGGCTTTCAAAATTTTAAGGGTTTTCAGGATTTTAAGGATTTTAAAATTTTAAATGGGCCTGACTTTTCCGGAAAATAAATTCATTTTTCCAATAGTTTTACTGAGTTTAATTTTTTTTTATTTA